CATGATGGCCAGAACCACCGTTATCTTTTCAGTTTAAATTTTGGCCACTACATACCCAAAATGTGCAGCATCTTTGAAGCATTGTCGACTTGAATATATTTGACGGTACAATCAAACCAGTATTAATTATAAGAAGTCATCCAATGTTCCGAGTGTTCACCCTGTATTAAGTGAGCCGCACTTCTCAAGTCTTAAGCTGTCCAAGCCTCTATTTTGGGGAAACGGACACTTAACGATACCGAATTCCCGAATTAAGGGACAGTTGATTCTTTGATTCTTGTCATTCGTTCCTTGTAGCCGACTAGTTTAGAGTACTCCCTGTTCCCATTATTTCGATCTCTTCTTTGTGGAAAAGCAAATGACTAGCGCTCCTTCCGTATAACAAAATTAAAATGCATTTCGCATAGAAACATGTCTTGTAAATTGAAAAATGTTGTTTCCTTTTTAAAAATTGCTGTTAGTCTGTTGCTTTTACGACCATTTCGCATAGATAAACAGTGGAGATTTTCACCATATAATTCTTGTTTTTGCTTTTCATGTGATTTTTAAAAACCTTTATATGACGAGTTTTGTATTAGTCTCTACGTTATTACAGCATGCAAGCTGTAACAAGGAAAANATACCCAAAATGTGCAGCATCTTTGAAGCATTGTCGACTTGAATATATTTGACAGTACAATCAAACCTGTATTAATTATAAGAAGTCATCTAATATTCAGTGTTCACCCTGTATTAAGTGAGCCGCACTTCTCAAGTCTTAAGCCGTCCAAGCCTCTATTTGGCGGGAGCGGACACTTAACGATACCAAATTCCCGAATTAAGGGACAGTTGATTCGTTGATTCTTGTCATTCGTTCCTTGTAGACTAGTTTAGTGTACTCCCTGTTCCAATCATTTCCATCACTTCTTTGTGGAAAAGCAAATGACTGGCGCTCCTTCTGTATAACAAAATTAAAATGCATTTCGCATAGAATCATGTTTTGTAAATTGAAAAATGTTGTTTCCTTTTTGAAAACTGCTGTTAGTCTGTTGTTTTTACCACCATTTCGCAAAGATAAACAATGGAGATTTTCACCATATAATTCTTGTTTTTGGTTTTCATGTGATTTTTAAAAACCTTTATATGACGAGTTTTGTATTAGTCTCTACGTTATTACAGCATGCAAGCTGTAACAAGGAAAACTCTATCCAGCATTTAAGGAGAGCTTGGGCGTAAGAGACCTTTGATTTAACGGGCACCTCTGTTATACCTGTACATTGACCAATTCCCTGAAGGTTATCCACCCATTACATGTTTTGCTGTATATGGCATGATGACATAGGCTGTATTTATAGTTTTCTTGAAGCTTAAACAATTACTGAATCTGATCCTGTAGCTTTAGACACTTTTTTCCAACTATTAAAGGGGTTTTGGCCTCTAACTTTGATCGACATAATTAAAGTGAGCTACACGACTTCATCAATTTCTAACACTGCACAAATTAGTTTACAAACTTTATAAAGCTACCTTAAACCCGTTCAATTGTATTGTTCATTAATGAAATCATATCAAAATGTTCGTAACTGGAGTATTTCAAAAAGGCAGAGGATCCTTTTAGCACGTCACAGAGGTCATACTATATGTTCTGATTTGCTTCAGACGGAGATGGTCTCTCCGGTAGATTCAGCTCTCTTTGCGCTGCACCTATCTTGTCAGACAGCTGTTCTTTGAACCCCGATGCAGTTGGTGGAAGGACCTTGATATCGCTTGTTCCAACCTTTACCGTTTCACTGAATTCAGAAGGGACCGTAACGGTTGGCATCTGTTTCCAGTTGATTGACTTTCCACATCCAATAAATGATGAAGAACTCGGCCTCACGCTTTTCACGGTCTTACCACCGCTCTTGCTGATCTCACACTTGCCATTACTAAGCCATCTAAACGAGAAGGTGCCCAGAACCGCGTATGCTGAATCTCTGAAGTCGTTGACAGTTGATGGCCGATTTCCGCAGGTTGTATCACCTTCGCATCCTTCCACCTTGGTCCAAATTGTACTGCAGTACGGACATCTTCGCAATTCAGATACACCATGCTCACTCTGGTATCCAAGACATTCTGTTCTGATATCGTACAGTACCATGCGGAGTTGATT